ATAAAGATTAACAACCACTTGCTTTATAAGACTATACTCCAACAAAACAGATTGAAAAAATGTTAGCTTCAGGTAATCAACATGCATTATTATTTCCCAACTAGACATCCGCTTCAAATATAACTTTATAATATTTTGACCGGATTGCTGTATGAAGAATGTATGTCTATGGTATAAAGCCAGACGCGTACTTCGACGACGAACTTACAGAGTCGATGTCGTAGAACTTCACGTTGATCAGTCGCTCAAGCAGTCGCAGAAGGATGTTCAGATCCCGCGGATCACCTACGTAAGCATCCAAGTTTCGCAGGGGTTCTTGCAGCATGCTGAGGGGCGATACAAATAAGAGATATACCTAAACAGACTTATATGTTTGCCCTTTCCACTTCAAATTGGTATACTACAAAATCAAAAAGGCAAAACGGAAGTAAATACAACTTACGGAGTGAAGATCTGCGTGTACTCGTTAGGAACAGCGTCAACCCTGAAAAAGTTGCGGTGATTTCAATAAATAATCATTGCAACTCGAAATTTGCTATTTACAATGCAAATTGAAATAAAAGTATGGGTCTTTAACTCTGCCCTTTTGTTCAGGTAATGCTTGAGTTGTCTTGTCCATTTCTCAGCATAAGGTATGGCGCATTTTTCCAGGACTTTTCTTGGCTTAATATCAGAACAGCCAACTACTCCTTGGAGTTGAGTGTTCAGACAGGTCAATTAGAGCAGAAATGGAGAGGGTCCGAAGGTTATCAATAGAAGTCTAGATACGAATTTCTAATCTGACAATCTGAAAAGGTAGTTTAATAAAGTTTTGTTTTGTTTTTAGACTTCATATCCTCCTTGATGGGATTAAATGTATCCGGTATAGAATTAGAAAATCCGACCACTAACAAAAGGTTTAGTGGGCTGTCTTTTCTGATTATCGTTCAAACCCAGCATCGGAGGCAGTTACGGAAAAGGATAATAGGACCCAGACGCCAGAATATGCCACACCAACATAATTTGTATTGTCGCTGGATGTCATTATAAGTGCATTTAAGTTTTTTTTAGTTGGACTTCCGACATCACAGACTTATGTAGTGGACTCGATATGTAAACGATACGTGTATCTTAAGCAAGCGGATAAGAGCCTGGAATTCAACACCGTCTTCCTGTATAATACGATTGAGGAGAAATAAAAACAGG